TTCTGACTTCTCCCGAAATTTGATTTAGAATTCTTACAGCTTTTTCCTGGTATAATAATGCATTCTTTGACGTCTACTCTCTTGAAATGTTACCCATTCCATGAATTATGACAATTTTCAAAGATCAAATCAGAGCGGATCCACTTTGAAACTGCTTCTTTCAACTTCTCCGATTATTTCTTGGAACCTATTTTTTCTGCAACAATTTCTTATAGATAACTCGGCGTTTATATAACACTTTCTCTCGCATTTTTATCCTATTTCATCTACACTTCCTCCTCCTGCACAGTAGTCATTCTCGAACGTCAAAAATACCATGATGTTTACTACAAAAACTTTTGCTTGCTTTTTTTCTTTTTGCTCACTTTTTTTCCTTTTTTTCTCAACTTACTTTTTGCCCTGCTTTGTTTGCTCTAGTTGGAATAACTCCATTGAAAAACGTCAGTCATTCTCCTAAAACCTTACTAGAATTATTCGAAGAAAACTAAATAATTTTTATTTGCACACATTACTCCGGGTCAGTTAATAAAATGACACTATCACTAAAGCAACTAAAAATTCTGCCAACATCTTGTGAACTTTTTTGTAGCCTCAGATCTCTTTTATGAATCTTACATTTTCTTCCGCAATTTCTGTTTCAACAGACATACTTAATTTACAAAGTTTGCAAGATCTTTGTTAGCTTGAATGTCACGGCAATCAACGGCTGTCTTTCAAAAGTAGTCCGCAACAGCGTATGCGTAACGTGCCATTGACGGTGTAGGCAAGAATGCCTTAAAACATGAGGATTGACAGATTCCGTATCTTTCTGGGTTTTATAATTATGAATAAGCATCCGGTGTAAAGATCTGCAATAGTTTATTCATTGTAAAAACAAATTCCTAGTGATCATCGCACAGGCAGCATGTCTAAAAATCGAAAATATAATAAAAGCGCGACTCAAAGGCATTGGAACTTTCTTACCACTGCAGGGGTAGAAGACTATAGTGTGTCGTCGGAAGGTCCCGCACGGGCAGTGCACAGATACACAGCCAGTGCATGTGTTGCAATGTGCATTTGTTGCAGATGTCCGACGACACCTCCCACTTTCGTCCACATGTAATCTACCCCCACCGCAGTCCAGATTTACAAGTGAATTCAACATCGGTGGTATTTCTGCAGTGCCACATTGGCCGACAACATTTGCGCGTTTAAGTCTGCCTGTTGCGAAACTTGCAAATATGCGCTCTGAGGCCTGCGGTAAATTGCCGGCAATGCAGGAGTAAAATTTTTCACGCGCAAATGTTGTCAGCGAACTTTGGCACCGCAGCGACAGATTCAACGTCGGCTTTGCTATACCTATGCGCATCGTAACGGCAAGTCAAGTGGAGATGTAGTTGAAACAAAGAGACTGCTACAGAGGATGCCGTGCACTTTTTTTCTCGCAAGAAGACAAGAGCTGAATCTACAGAACCACTATTTGGCCCAAGGTCTCCATTTCATCTTCATCGAGTCTATTTACATTGTATCCATCGACTTGTGCTAGTCGTCGATGACAAGACGTGGTGTGGTGGGAGAGCTGAGAGGGGCGACCGCGACGCGAAGAGGAGCGAGTGCGTGTTTTTCTTCTGCAAAGGCACGACGCGCTCGTCGAGTCGCGACGAAGCCAACCCTAACCCGCACCGCACCGCACACTGCCGACACTGTCTGTTGTGCACTTGTGCATCCTCACATCTTCACTCAGAGTGCCTGCGTCTTGCCCTTGCGTCGCTCGAATTTCTTTGAAAAAGAGCACCATGAAATTCTAGCTTAGAATTTTGTCGAAAGAGCAATCGCTATGTTTTACGGTCACGTGTTTATACAAAAACAGCGATTTCAGATGTGTCCGTGATTGCGGACGATTTCAATGGAGCTTCTGCTCAGTGTGGGGGGATCACCAGTTGACTGCAAATATGGGCTATCAGATCTGAAGCTTAATATAGTGCTTCTGCAATGCCGACATTTACCAGCAACATTTGCGCGTGAACAAATTGCTACTCCTATGAAGCCGCCACCTCGCGCGTGCGAAGCAAGCCTTAAAGCGCCCATTTTCGACTTTTGCGCCTATTGGCAATTCGTTCATGCGCATATGTTGTCTGCAAATGTTGCCACCGCAAGCGCACCAAATTAAGCGATCTACTAGACTATAGTTATATAAACAATTAGTTTTGCTTCAATCAACATTCAAAATATCTCTGGTTTTGCACGGACACTATCAGCTTTATCAATACTACCCTAAAATCCGTACAATAAGCCCGGACTTATCTGCAGTTTCGACGCGAAAAATTGATGAAAAAACGCCCTCTGCGCCGCCAAAAGTCTACCAGATAAGTCCTCCTAAATCCACTATCAGATAAGTCCGCAGCAGATAAGTTCGGCTATCCTGAGCATGAGAAAGCGGACTTATCTGCAGGACTCTTGGCGGCGCGAGGGGACTTTCGTTATCAAGAAAGCGGACTTAACTGTTAGTTCCTTTGCGGACTTATCTGATAGGCGGACTTATTGCACGGATTTTAGGGTAACTTCATTGTTAAGGATTCGCAAATATTTCCAAGAAATACACCAACGTCACGTTTGTGCAGCGATATCGGTTGGTGCAAGTGAACCCTTCAACGCGCCGCGACTATGGTCGCAGTGGCGGCGCTGCTGCTCCATTTGCCGCAAATGGACTATGAATCGACGTTTCAGTTCTATCGGTTTTGTCGATAGAAGTTTTTCGCATAGGAGGACGACTGGCATGGGAGAATTGCAGTAAGCTGTTTTCTAGTTCGTGTTTCTAGGGGTAATGTTAACGCCTCTCTTACCTGCCTATGTCTTTGAAGAGATTCAATCGCATTCTTTATCCCATCATCAGCAACTATTGCCGTTGTTTTTGTGTTATTTTTTATTTGTCCATCACTCTTCCCTTCTACTACTTCCATTTGGGGCACATATTTAGAATAATTAGTGCAGATCCGATTTCTTCTCTTGTCGTCCATCGTCTTCAGCCGACATCGTCGTCTGAAGAACTGGCTATGTTCGAAGAGTGGACGGACGTTGTCGTTGTGAAGCATTCCTCTCTAGGAGAGAAACTAGTTCTGACGTCCGCGTCGTACCATCGCTCACTCCAGCATCGTTGGCCGCCACCATTGTCGTCACAACCATCGTCGTCGTCTTCGACGTTACACAGCTTTCATGTCCTTTAATTCATTCCCTTTTCCTGCCTTCTTCCTATTTTCAACAAGCAAAGGATTAGAGGCATCCTGCGAAATTGAGGGTGATAAGATTTTGATGCAATATAATAGCGGAGCTCTTAACTAAGCAATCGCCCAAGTCTCGCTGCAAAAGATGAATTCCAGTGCGAGAAAACCGCTCCAGAATGTAGATGCGGCTGCGCTGGCTCCGCCCATCAACGTAGGTGTTTCGCGATACAAATCCAAAATTGGGCTTTAGGGTAGAGAGAAAGGTCGCAGATTTGGTTTTCAACATGAAGGGAGGATCCACGACAGTCCAACGGTGCTCTCCGGTCCAGTTTTTGGATACAAGATCGTGGTTGGACTATTCATCCAGAACTCATCTTGATGGGCGGAGTCAGCGTGGCCGCTTCTATAATCTACAGCGATTTTCTCGCTTTGGAATTCATCTTTTGCAGCGAGACTTGGGAGATTGCCTACTTAGGGGCCCCGCTATCATTCAGGTGGACAGTGCCTTTAATTTCAATCTCCTTCCCTGTCTCATCTCCATCTGAATGCACAGGAACGACTTCAATCCGTTGGAGATGTCTGGGTGAATACGCTCGCATCTCACCGACGATAACCGGTTATCCGCCATCTCTTCTCTCCATCGCTTGGCCGCTTCGTTGTGTCATCCACAGACCCAACGTTCGTCGTGGATTTGTCAAGGGCCACACACAAACTCCATCCATCCGCAGTCCTGCTCACATTCCACTTCACTTGTGTTTGCTGTCATCAAAAGAATACAACGGTGTGCTCTCCGGTCCAGTTCGTTGGCTGTGCTCCCGTTTTTGGTGCTCTGTGTTAAATTTGGAGCTTTCTGGTTTTCGATGAGTTTTCGTTTGAACATGTGCACATCTAGTCATTTGTATCCAGCATAACTGGTTGCACTTTCAGTTTTTCAGATGTGAAGCATTCTTGACAATTGATGTTGAAGATCTCAACTGACTAATGTGAAAAAGGTTGGCAATGGTTTTGTTTTTCTAGGAATTTATGCAACTCATTTGACTTTTTTGCTTTTCTAATAGTTTCCGCCTTCATTAGTCATCCTCTTTTCTACCAAGGAATTTTTTTTGAAAATCTTCTTTGTATAGATTTACAGCTTGATATGGTGAGTATGCGCATGTATCTCACGTAGTTAAGTCGTTAATTCGTATGTTACCTCTTTTATTTTCTTCGCACTTTGAAAAGTTTTCGTTCCTCTATGAGATTTTGCTTTCTGTTAATTGAATCTTGATTTTTGGGTCTTCGTTTATCATACATTCAAAGCGGTCACTTCCTACCTGATTTTACTTCATTTGTTCAAAATTTAAGGGAGACCATATCATTTACCAAGCGATTCTTTAGTGCCTTTAGGAGTTTAGTAGATGATTTTGTTCTCGTAATTCTATTAGATAAGATTCGATCGCGCTTTAGGAAATGAGTTGCTAACTGCTAAAATTTGAAATTTACCATTGTCTTACGAGTAACATGCAGTGGGTAGAGTGATTTACAGACCGTTCCTTCCTTTCTTCATGATTTTCTTTTCTTTTTGGCAGTCTTTCTTTGCAAAATTTTTGCTTCTGCCTACCTAATCTGAAAAAATTTTCTGTTTTGATTTTTACCCACTAAAATATGATTTACACTCTTCACTCTTCTCGCCTGAATCCAGTTGTTTAACTGTTATGCCGCGAATAAATACGATAATCGCTCGTTGCCGTCGAAGTCGTCGTCGTCGTGGTCGATCGTTGACGTTCGTTCGCTCGCTCTCTCTCCGTTTACTCATCGTTTTCGTTTTTTCAGTACAGTGAATGCAGTGAATGCACCCGCCTTCGTCACCGTCACCGTCTATGCAAGAAGCTGTTTCGTCGTCGTCGTCTTCGTCGTCCGGGCAACAACAGCTTCAGAATCAGCAACATTCACTTATGCAAAGACTTTTAATGGGAGCTGGCGGAACCCAAACAACGAGTAGCGCTCGAAATGGAATTGAAGACATTGCTGCCAGGTTACATAAACAAAATGGAAATGCGACGGCATTGACTGTGTCGAGCGGTAATGGCTATTATTCGGTGAGTGGTAGTTGACTCAAATTCATCTGCACTTGTAGATCACAATGTTTTCAGCCCGAAATCGCATCGCCGTGGGGCGATCAGGTGCTCAGCATTTCGAACAATACTCCCATGATGCATTTAACTTGCCTGGAATGCGGCATCAACAAAAATAATAGTGAAGATATGGAGGTAAGTCTATCTAAAAAAATTTCTTTCCATTTTCGTAAGTTATTGTATAATTCATGTTGGCAGATTGATTTTGGTAATCGTTGAGTTAGTCACTGGTGAGACTAGTAGTTTCCGTGTTTTCCTCTCTAGATTCCTTCTTCTGCCCTTCTCTGAACTAAACTATAGATTTGTAAAGATTTCTAAGAATTGCAATATTTACTAAAATGGCAACAATTTGTTTCCCTTTTCTTTCCCTTATATTGTTATTCTGTGTTTTTCTCATATCCTTGATCTCACAATGTTTGAGACTTTCAAAATGATGAAAATGTGATAACAAAAGTTGCACACATTTTTCTTTTCATAATTCACTTCCATTTCAGGTCCACTTGAAACGAGAGCATCTGAACTGGTTGCCATTCCAATGCCCCATCTGTTTATCGGAAAGGGCATCTGATGCAGAGATGAGGGAACATCTACATTCTTCACATCGAAAAAATATGAATAAGGTATTGTGTTCACTTAAAAGTCACATTTTTCTCTCTTTTCATTTCCCAATCAAGAACAACATCTCTTTGTTATGATCTTCGCGGACCGTCTATCATTTCTTTAACACATATATAACCGAATGAATTACCAGCGCTATGCAATCTATACAATTTTTTGTGCAAATATTTTTCTTTATCAGCTTGTTATCTTGCAAATCATTTGATTATTTTATATTCTTTGTTCTTATTATTAGTGATTTTTTATTGAAACCTCATGCTGTTTTGTTTCAGTTCATCTATGTGGATAACGTGACTGCAAAGAGATCACTACAAATTATGATGGATCGCGCATTATCTCATGCGATGGCGAGACGAGCAAATAATCATCACGGAAGCGGGAGAATGTCGTCGTCGTCGACGATATCGCCACCTGCTGCTGCAGCCGTCAATCACTTCGCCGCGGCAATCAAGGCACATGAAGTGGTAAGTATGCCGTTAAAAGTTCGTTTTTTTTGCTTTTGGTGAACTTGATTTTCTAATGTATTTCAAGAACTTCACAATACATAGTTGATGAATCTCCTTTTCTTTTTCAGAAACCACCCTGTCTTGATCGATCTCATACTTCACCTGCCGATGTATCGTTCCCCATCAGCACTAGCTCACGTAAGCGACATATCGATGATGCGCTTGCTTCAACTGGCAACACAAACACTGATGCTCTTCTGGCTAGCATTAGTCGAGCAACGAACTCAGGAGTCGTTGAAGGAGAGGGTGAGTTCAGATTTTGTTTGTTATGTCCGTCATTGTAGGGATTTTTACTTTTTGTTCTTGAGATCTGACGGAATGATATCTGATTTTTCTTGACACCTTTTATATCTATGTGTTTGATTCTTCGGCGCACCACCTAAGCTGTGTTCAAACTACTATAGGAGAATCCCTCAATGTATATGGCTCTGTTATAGGAAATCCACCCCGTAGGTATTTGATTTCAGTATCGGACGAATTGGACATCAACATCATGCCCATGTTCAATAAACGCTTGAAATCCGAATATGAAACAAATGAGCAGGATGATAGCGCTATGATAGACGATAGCATTCTTGACAATCTCAACCCGATGTGAGTATCTCTTTTTGATTGCTTAGATTTTTCATTCGCGCATTTACTTGCATGGTTTATCTTGACTGTTCGTTTTAGCTCTGTACTGGATAATGTTGCTGCTTTATTTGCATCTGATGGCCGCATTGAAGATGCTTATGCTGACACGCATGTAGAAAAGCCAACCAAAAGTCAAAGTGCAAAAGCTCTGAGCAGCGCGTGAGTTTTTAGCTTCAAAATTTCTTCTATGGTGGAGCAGGTTTTCAAGTGCCATTCTACATGATTTTTTTGATTTAGTCCTTTAAGGATCTCAAAGAAACGAGTGCTTGGAGAATGCAGTAAATGTCAGAAGCCAGTAACTGCGGGTGCACGGCAAATGCATATGTTCTTCCATTTGGCCAAAGATCACGGGGTGAGTTGAGAATGATTATCCCATATAGTTAAAAATTTTTCATGAATAATATTTACGTTCTTCTTCTAGACTTTCCGATTCCGTTGCCTTTTCGACGGGTGCACTGTTGAGCACTATCGCAAAGATCAGATGGAGAACCATCAATCAAAAATTCATGGCAAAATTGATCCTGAAATGATGGAGGACAGATCGTTAGAGCTATTTCATCGGTGCCAGGTTTGTTATTATTATCTATATTTCATTCACTCCTGCAACGGTAAAATCCTGCGAAGCTGAGTAAATTCCTTTTGACTTTTGATTCAAATTCCATATTTGATTAGCATCACCCTTAGCGGTGCTTGTTGTATCTTGATTTTGTATTATGCATGCATTCAGCTATGGTTCTGGTAGATCGTGTAAGTGTCGTGTGGTGTCTTTTCAGGAATTGAACCATGAACTATTCTTGGCTCATAAAAACAATGCAAACAACGCAGCGGCAGCAGCAGCTGCTGCTGCGAAAGCTGCGGCAGCCGCTGCGGAAAGCGCAAGCACATCGCAACAGCCGCAGCAGCAAGAACATCATCAGCAGCAACAAATGCAGCAGCAACAGGTTAGTTCTCGGGTGCCACACTACTAACCTCGCTAACCTCATATGTCTCATATCATATGCATTCTGTTTCTATGCATGTTTGATGCATCTGCATGCCTAAATTTGGTTCTGTGTTGGTAATCATGTCCATCCTTTGTAGTAGTGTCTAGGGTAGCTAGTAGTGTGGCTCGAGAACTGACCTGCTTGGTACTTGGTTGCCCGGTAGTTCTGGAATGTTATTATGTTACCGTCGATTAATATCAGGGTTCCACATTTGAAGCGTCTGGTTGTCTCTACAAAAGCTAATGTCTAAACTCATTATCGTAATCAACTTCATTTCAGCTGAACATTTGCTTCCACAGTAAAAAAGAGAATTAAGTGAAAATGGTTATAATCTTACTAAACTTGGCTTGCTTCAATTGCTTCAAAGCCGTAACAAGGTCCTAGGTGTTCAATGTAACTAACTCCAGTTACTGCTTTATTAAAATTCTCGTAATGGTTTCATTTTGCAGGAATTGTCTATGGAACTACTCGGGACAAAAAACGGGAGCACGCCCGGCCCAACCGCAGCTAGAGCCGAGGCGGCGTACAATGCTCAACAAGCTGCACTAAAAGAAAAGGTGATTCTTTTTTTGCACTTTTTTTTTGTCTAGCTCAATTTATTCAACATTTTACTATCACGAGTACATCCCCCTAACAAAAGTTTACAGTTTCTTGCAGAATAGTAAAACCTCCACAACTCCTGCTCCCAAACCAACTCCCATCACCACTGTAGTGCCAAAACCAGTTCCTGATGAAGAGCACCCTTTAGAGTGTCGCCTTTGCCACAAAACTATGCAAAATAGGGTGAGTTCCTTCTCAGTAATGGTTTATTGAAGGTGAGTGATATCTTTACAGATACGTGGCTTTCACATCCTTTGGCATATGGCCAAAGATATGGGTATAAATAGGTACATTTGCCGAGTTTGTGGCTTTGGCCACGATCGGTCTCAGTCGGTACAGGTACATGGCAAAAAAGAGCACGGGACGGAGGAAGTGGTTCAAGATAGAATTGGGGTAAGGCTTTGTTGCTTATCTATGTTTTGATACTTTGGATATGTGTAATGATGATTTTGCTATATCGTTATAATCCTCTCAATAAACGTATTCAGGAGTACTCAGATGAGGTAAAGCATATGTCTGAGCAATGCTTTGGATTCCAAGCCCTTTTTGCGCAAGAAAATAAGAAAAAGACCAAGATTCCATCTGCTACGGTAAGAGTCGCAATTGTTTTCTGTTCATTATTCCCTCATTCTATGAATTGCGGTGATGCAGTGGAACACTAACGTCAAATTGCTAACAGCTCGACAAGTTCTCATTTTCTTCGTGCATACTTTCAGAAACTGAAGAACACCGTAGATGAAGACGATACTGTTGACAATTTGACGTTAGATTTAGGTCAAGATGTGCAGGTAGTTGAGGGATGATGACATTGAAGAAGTGCAACCTAGGAGACACTATTTCTAAGATGGAATCGATTTAGGGCGAATTGGATGACGCTGACGCGACACCTGAGGAGGAACCCGAGCCGGAAGATGAACAAGAACCTTTTGAGGATGAAGAAGAAGAGCGGGAATCAAATGCCTCAACGAAAGCGAGAAGCAAAAAGCGTCAGAGTCGATTCCCACGATTTGGCTTAAGAAGGCCTAAATCGAAGAGTAAGAGGACAGAAATGGCGAAATTGAGGGAGATCAGCATGCTTTTGGGAGGCGCACAGTATTTCAAAAAGAAACTGTCCGAAGCTGCTCATTGTGAGGTGGGTTTCTCCAATGAATAATCCTGCTTCCTCTGTTCACTGGATTTTTCACTCCTTTACACCTTTTTTGAGAGTAGAATTTTTCTAAAATACCATATTGGATGTTGACTATTAATCGGGCCTATATACCTTATCTTTCAGAAATGCGGGAAGATTACCAATTCTCGGATGAGTGAGCATGCGTATACGCACATGGAAGAGCACCTGTTTCTATGCCCACTTTGTGATTTGGTTAGTTTCCCTACGATATCGTTTTTGATCGCTGTTATTATTTTTTCTTTCTGAAGATCTGAGATGGTAGTACAGTGTGTTTTGTTTTCCTATCTGCTCCGAATATGTACTTCCGTTGCAGAATGATGTCTTTCAGATGTTTCTGAATGCTATCGTTTCAATAGCATTTTTTGGATTGACGGTAAACTGTTCAGGGGCATCAATCGCGTGAACTCGTCATACGCCATATCCGCGAAATCCACGAGTCCGATGATCGACCAGTGGATAACCGACTGAAACATGCAAAAGATATCAAAGCGATGATTCGCGAATGCTACCCTGCTTATTTTGTTGATGCGCCAATACCAACGCAACAGGACATTGAAAAGCTGTAAGTTAGCAGTTTGAGTCTTTTCAACCTCTTAACATTTCAAAAAAAATTTTGGATCTAGATTTTCATAGACGGCTTCTTATAGTGTTGTAAAAGGTTTATCGAATCTTATTGCATTAAGAAGAATTGTTGTTGTTTTTATTTTTCGTGACCTTTTATTTGTTTCCATTTTAGTAAACAACATATGGGAGAGACGGCTTCTACCATGATCGCTGGATTGGACGATGAATTAGGCTATGATGTGGATGATGAAGATGGCGGAGACTACGAGGATGACTCAGCTTCCGAACCAAAACTTGTCCTTGATGAGGAGGGTGGCCTCGAACTTGAACGAGAAGATGATGAGCATGAAGATGAGGAGGAGGCCGGGTAGTTAGTGGTGTAAGCTTCATCACTTATCGTTGCTTCTAGTCACCAATTTATTTTCGTTGATAGATCCTGTTTTTTTTTCTCTCATAAACCTCTCAGAGACGGATATTTTCTTGTATGTTCGTTTTACTTATTTTTAACCGATATCGAGAAGTCCACTACCCGCAAAATTCAGCGACCCTCAATTTAGTCGGCTGAGTCGTGTTCCTATTCTTTGCTTGCAATGGAGTCATACGGAGCTTTTTTTATCCTGGGATATTCTTTTTATGGTCTTCAGTGCTCTACTTACACGAGTTGTCTATAATATCTCGCTTAAGAAACAAGCCCAAAACTATAGTTCTTAGGTGCTCTAGGAGACATTTTTCTTTATTTCTGTTCATTCTTTTGTATGCTTGAGTTCTTATGTCACATGAAGTTCACACGGTTCATGACTGTCCCCCCCCCCTCCCCCACCAATCCCGGTATATCGAGTGCCCAAACTACTGTCACCTCAGCACATCTCGTTTCTTTTTGCTGTTATCCTTTTCGTGTTTTTTTTTTGATTGTTCAAGCGTACATCTGAAACGAAGTGAGGGAAAAAATTGTACACAAATGTGTAAGCTCAGCCTTTCGCTGTTTCTTCTCATTGACAGTAATTCATTTTTACGTGTAATCTCGTTATTTTTGTGCTGTTACTTATGCTGATGATTTCAATGAAAGTTTTGATTTTTGATTTCTATTTTTGGACGTCTCGTATCTGACATAACGGTCTACTACAAATCATGTCCAAATGTTTGTTAAGCATGTGTCGAATAACTGACGATTTTGATCAGTCATAACTTAGTATGTTTGCAGAATAGCACGGACTTTGCTCATTGCGTAACCAGTAATCGGCTAGACATTGGTCTAATTTCGGGATTCACTGAATTGTTCCACAATTTTTGTAAAAAACTTAAAAGAAAATCTACCTATCTTCAAGGAGAAAAGAAAAGGCGTTTTGGACTTTTGAATTTTTTCCGCTGCTTACAATCCAGCATTTAGGCCCAGTCTCATTCTAGAGAGTAAAAAGGTCGTTTTAAAATCATAAATGACTCTGAGTTCCACTGATCTATCTTGTCAGCTAATTTTTTCATCGCGACATGTTGCCAGACTTTCGGTTGCCTCTTCAAATGTGCTTTTCTCGACTTTCAGCTGAAGCTTTTAACCAATTGGAAAAGACCTTTGAATTTGGTCTATTTCTACCTTTTCAAGTTGAGCTACCACAGATTAGACAATCGTGGCATAACGTAATACTGTACACAAAGCGCACCATTTTATCTCTAACTCGCTGACATACCCGGCTCCGCCTGGCTCCGTCAATATACTCTGAGGAAGCACCATGCTTTATCTCCGTACAATTTTTCTGTGCTTCCTGCCTCCACTGAATTTTCGTAAACATGCTCACTTAGCCCTGTGCCACCTTCCAGCCCTTTGCTCAAATTTCGCAGAAAAGTGATAAAAGCGATGAAAATTCCAAAGTGTACGTGTGCCAAGTTGGTTGCAGATTGGTTCATCAATAATTTCTATTCGGAATGTGCTTAAAGACCACATGCAGACAGTAGGTAGGCAGACTGACAGACAAACAGATATGTAAGCTTCATGTAGGGGTGTCCCAAAAAATGTGCCTACTGTTTGATTGTTAATAACTTTTTTGTCATGAAATCTATCGAGAAACTTCAGGTGCCATTTTGTAGAGCTGGCTTCAACTTAGATTAGCAGCAAGATATGCATTGCCGGTCTTTCTTTTTTACTGAAAAAATTACCGTAGGATTTCGAGCACTTGGCACCACTGTGAGATAGGCCATTTGAAAAAAAAATCAAAGAAATGTGGAAAATTGTTTAACAAGTTTTCCGCATGCTGATTTCAGCTCATAACTTAGTAGTAACTTTTACACCTAAGATGAAAGTTTTCAGCTTTGTTAGTTTTTTCAAGGGAAATAAGACTCTCAATGCCACAAAAGCTTCCTCAAAGTTCCTACCGCAATCCTACAGTAGGAATGAGAGATCAGTGATTCGCTTTATAGTGTTAATTTAAGTTAAAGCCAGCTCTACAAAATGGTGCCTGGGGTCTTTTCAAAAGACTTCATGACAAGGGAGTTATCAACAATCAAGCAGCTTAGACAATTACTGCGAGCATCCGCGGCCCTACCGTCGTTTTTTGGCGGTGCGCGGGCGCTAAACTCTTGGACTGACCATCCGCAGCCCTAGATTTGTTTGCTTGGCAACCTGCGGCTCAATGCTATCACAAGGAAAAGGCCGCGGGCCGTAATTGTTTTATCCGAGCACCCACGGCCCAAGACAAGACGCTCGGGCGAGCCCCGGGCCTTACAGGACGCCCTGCATATTTGGTTATCGGGCAAGCCGCGCCCCTTTGGGTCACGGCCCGGTAGAACCACTCTGGCGAGCCCGGGACCATGCTGGGCGCCACAATTCTTACACCCTGGGAGCAAAAACGTTGCTCGCGTGAGATACGCCGCGGTGGCTGAGGTGCTATAAACCCTTTGGTCTTTGTTTATAACAGTTCAGCTTATGACTAGTAACGAAGTCGGTCCTCAGGACTGCCGGCCAATTTTGATGTAGATCGTGAACTCTATGCGGAGGTAGGAGAATGAGAACACGAGCTCGTAAAATATATGGAAATTTTCGCTTTTAGCTGGTGCATATTGGGCGCATTCGGCGCATTTATCGTCTGTTTGCCAGGACATGCGCGGGCAGATCTCGGAAGTTTAGCGTGCGTTTATTCTACCACCCGCGGCATGGACGAAACGTCTGCCGGCGCCATTCAGCGGGTGGTCGCAGTAATTGTCTGAGAGTAGGCACATTCTTTGGGACGCCCTGTATGAGATAATCAGCTCTAACATACAAAAAGATTTTGCGAGGAAAGGCCCTATATACTGTGCTGTGCATCAACTGAGAACATCTGAGCGACTGTTTGCGAGCACGGTAAGCGTTGAGCTGCTCATAACAAAGGGTCCGCTCTGTACTCGTGAAATTAGGATACTCTCTTAGAAAAATTGATGCTGAAATGGAGATTGCGGATTTAAATGGAGGTGGTACAGTCCACAAATCTTCATTATCTGAGCTCAAGGCGTCTACATGTGAAGAGCGTTTCTCGCTCTTTTGTTCATATCTTCACAGACTTGGAATACGGTACAGTCGACTGAAGTCTTGCCATTCAAAATAACCAAGCTCGAGTTTTTGATAGGAACTAACGTGGATGGGCAGCAAATAAAGTAGATGTGACCGTGCAGCATCAGATCGGACCTTTGCGGACATAACTTGGGTAGTTTGGAGTAGGTTCGAAAATGGAGGTTGTGTGATCATCTTCCCCCGTAGAAAATGAACGTTGTTTTTGAAAAAGAAGAAAAAAGGTGCAAAACAGATAGCAGAAGCAAAACAAACTCTCGATAAAGATGCTGCAGTGATTTGTAGTTTCTCCATTTGAGGGCGTTTTTGCTTTCAGGTTTTCGCTTCACCCAGACAATCCACATCACGGGGGAAAACGAGGATAAGCTAGTTTTGTTGTGGTTGTTGCAGCAATAACCATGTTTTGAAATGGTATGTATTATCAGGAAGAAGATAACGAGAAAAGGGTTAGTTGCAAAAAGGTCAAGTTTCTTCATTAAGTTTAAATGCACGTCAAAGCCATCAAGTTTTTCCAAGCCTTTTGAATTTTCATTCCTTCTCGTACTGTTTCTGGCGACGTTGTCAGCTTTGTTCTGGACATACTGAGCAAAACACACCCAAGCTTGAAAGAAATGGTTGCTAAATAAAGAACTATGAACATTTTTGAAGCTTTCATCAAATATTTCACCACAGTCGAAAAAGTAAGCTTGACGACGATACCTACAATATATACAGAAGCAAGATCTTTGGATACATGAACGGCATGGAAAGAACCAAAAATAAAGAACAAGAGATTTTTGAAACCACGGTCTTTGCCAGAATTTTCGTTCAAATTAAAAATCGGGGTTTCGACTCCAGAGTGAAGGTAGAAGAGGTAATATGAGTTCTGGTCGTAAATCTCCACGGGTTCTCGACAAAACCTACAACTTAAATATACTACTTACTCATTCTGATGGTGATTAGATTTCACGATTAGGAGCACTGTCAACGTCTCAAGGGTTGAAAATCACCTCTTTGCGAAGCCAGCATTTTTGTGCGCGAATCTCGCGTAAGATGCCGCAGTTTCTCGTATTAAAAGAGATTGTAAACTCTTATAATCCAATCGTATGCTGAAAAGAGGTTAATCGAGGACTATTGTCTTGTATTCTATGGTATTGTCTTGTATTCTATGGTATTTTACCAAAAATCTCGTTTTAGCACAAGAAAGGCTATAAAAACTAAAATTTTAGGTTTCGCCGAGATGTTTTTAAGGTTTTAATTACTACATATATATGCTTCATCCAAATTATTGCCAATTTAGTTATCCTAACATCTGGGGCTTTGCTCCGGATGAATTCTGTTTTTGCTTTCTGGTGAAAATTGTGTTCTCTTATGTCGCTCAAGGTGAAGGGTCACCAGCTCGGGGATTCGCACCACGCGAGCGGTCCTCCTATAAGGGCTAGCGTACAAGCGGTCGACATAAGCCTAAAGCTTCCGTGCGTGCGGCAAACATGAAGCGCCGTCCTAGCGGCAGGCAATGTTACCGTGCAAACGGCCTGCAATACAAGTGCTCGAGCGAGCGGCCAGCAATGCGTCCGTCTTATCTGTCGGCAATACCTGCTGCCGTGCAAGCGGCCGACAGTGAACTCTATCTTCTGCTCACTATTTTCACACATTGTGAGTCAAACGGTGTCTGCGTGAGATACGACGCAGCGTTTAGGCTGGCTAAGAGTTGACATATCTTTTCCAGCAAGGCTAGAATGAACCTGTGTGAAGCCGCGGCCATGAAGAGTGATGGTGTGGGCCCCACCATGGAAGGTCCGGCCACTGCTGCATCGTTCGATGTTCTCAGAATGTAAAAAGGACTAACGTATCCAAGAAATATGGCCAGTATCCTATATATAAAGCTGAATGTCTGTATGTCTGTACGTATGTGTACGTATGTGCGGAATAGAAATTTTTACTTCTGAACCGATTTGGACCAAACTTGGCACACATATACTTCGGGGCAGGGAGCGTGTCATAAGCTACTTTTCGTTATCGATCGATATCGATTTTATCGATTTTTTGCAAATTTTGAGCTACAGGGCTGGGAGTTGGCACAGGGGATAATCGAGCATGCTGATTACAAATATATTATTGACAGGCCCGGGCGGAGCCGGGTTTGCCAACTAGTATCCCATATAGATCCACTCCAACAGCAAGCGAGCGGTCGACCTTCCCCGCGCAAGCGGCGAGCGTTAGGAACCGTGCGGGCGCCCCACGTTAACCGTGCCAACGGCCCTTGACGACCGTACAATTGCACACACCGACGAGCGATTGTAGGGTCATCGCTGGCCGCCCGCACGGCGCGAGTCCCTGAGAGAGTATATGGCTCTATGTATCGCAGGTATGACTATTATCGAGTCGGTGTTCCTTAGCAGCAATTCAAATAGTGTTAATGATTCGCGTGGTTTTAAACGCTCTTTTGTCCTGTTTTTTCAA